CTAGAACTTCACGATCTCAGGACACCAGATGGACGCCCCCCTATTATTCATATATCTTCTCGTAGAACCTGCAAGCTTTGGCTAGGGAGGTGGAACAAGGCCAAGGACCTCACCCAGGGTTTTGTAACCCTTTCTTCATTTTATTATTTAATTTCTTTGCCAGTTTATTTATAAATTTTCCGTTCATAGTAATGATTAATTTTCCCCTTCTTGGACTTAAAAATACTTGAGAAAAGCCTACCGTGCACTGTGTTGGCAGATGGTAGGAGGTTTATAGTACATAACAAGCATTTAATACAAGATTATAAAGACTATCACTTGGAAGAACTGATAGCTAAGGAAGCATTTTCTTTACCTAGCCTAGTCTCCCTCCATTGCTGCATACCTCGTTCAGCAAAGGTCCTTGAAAGAAGAAACACCCAGGGATGCACCACAGACACAAGTGTATAATCTTACCCTGTACTCACCACATTCATTCATTAGCTTACCAACAGTTATTAAATTCCCATTATATGTAATATAATGGGAAAATCAATTAGAAATCCAAGAATTATAATGCATTAATGGCATTAGCTAAGTAAAAATACGCAAAGGTGATGATTGGAACAAATGACAGGGGCCACTAAATCAGAGTTTTCATTTTTGTTTCTTATAGAGCAAGACCCTATATAACTTTAATTCAAACCTCTTGCTACTTTAAATTTTTTCTTCACCCTTATACTAGACCAGTAGCTCTCAACTGAGGGCAGTTTTGCCCTTTCCTTCCCAGAGGACATTTGATAATGTCTGGAGATATATTTGATTGTCACAGCTAGAGGGGGCAGTGCTACTGGCATCTAGTGGGTAAATGCCAGGAATGGGTCTAAACATCCTACAATGCACAGCACAACATGAATTATCTGGCCCCGAGTAATAATAATGCGGAAGTTGAAACACCCTGTACTAGGATATGAAAGATACGAATTTATTCCATGAGGGCTCATCCCCACTCCCACTCCCTAGGACCAACTCAGGAGACTTATAAACCCTATTTAAGAACTCTGCATAGTTCTAAGGAAGGAAGTCTCAGAGAATCTACCTCAGACTGGATACCTCTGGGAGGTATATTAGAGCATTATGCAAAACTTAGATGCCTCCTGAGGCCCCCATGTAAGCTCACCTGAGTCCAGAAAATTCAATCTTCTGAGTGAAGCAAAAATGCCTGGGTCAAATCTCTAAGTGGCCCATGGTACCATTTAACTCCCCTTTGCTGGACCCAGTCACAGGTATTACAACATGGAGATCATCAAGGGCCTCTCCCCTAAGGTGCTCAAGATTCTCCGAATTCTGCCTCAGGGGCTCTATTTTGGAACAGAATTCAATAAAGGAAATATCTTGGATTCAATATGTTAAATTTCAGATACTGGGAGGGAAACTTAGGCCCAGAGAGGATTTTGCTTCTCCTCAGACATGTCTACCAACAGCTACATTTGGGAAATGTCACATTTCTATAAATTCTGCATCATCTTATGCACTTCTACTGGGTGTCTTTGTGTTTCCTGTGAGTGGAAAGACTACCTGTGTAGGTGGTATCCATGTGCACCATGGTACATTCTGTCTATAAAAGGAATTCCTACCCGAAAAGATACATATGGCAAATCCTAGAAAGAAAGTTCTGATATTCTTTTTTTTTGTATGTCTCTAAGGGTTAGTTAAACTTTTTATATGTTTTTCGCTTCTTCCCCAGAATTGTAATTATATGGGTATGTAGTGACACCTGGAAAGAAGATGTGGGATATGCACTAGGTCTAGTTCAATCCCCAGGTCCAGGTGACAATCATTATCGACTTATAAAGACAAATAAGGACACTGTAATGTCTTCAAGGCCCTCAAAGGGATTTGATACAGTTGTCCTTCTGGCTAGTCCCAAACACAAGTCATTCATAAGAAAATTCCTAATTGTTTTCCATTATTTTCTTGTATTTCATTCTGACCTTTATTCCTTCAGGGTCATTCATGTTTCAGATGTAATCCTGCCTGCCCATGTTCAAAATATACCTCTCTTCTAGGTGGCTCACTTATGAATTAACAGTTACATCAGTTGAGATGTTAAGATTTAGAAATACCTTAATATGTTGCTTTGTCCTAGGGCATTTTCTATTCTAAGGAGAGAATTTGAATTTGAATATATATATATGGCAATTGAGACATCCTTCCACTTTGTTTTTTGATAAATACAATTTTAAGTTTTATTTTTACACAAATACTCACTAAAATGATTACTAAGTGTTTATAAACTACTCTGAAATTAATCCAATATTAGACCTGTACATCCTACCTCATCTTTGTAGTCAGAGGAAGACACATGCTGTTCTACTTCCTCTTACCTTACATTCCCAATACTATCTTTGGGTCAGTTTCTAAACACATATTTTTTCAATACTAAACAAAAGCCTTGGCCCTTTAACATTATCCCTAAATTAAATCTGATTAGCTGTGTTTCAAGTTCTAT